GGTTATTTTTGAGATAGGATTACACTTCAGGCCCTAGCTGGCCTGGACTGCAATCCCCTGTTTCTGCTTCCCCTTACAGTTGGGATAACAGGCATGAGACACACTGCCCAGCCATTGGCTAGCCTGGGCTAGCCTCTGAATATGTCCTCCTGATCTCCACCTTGAGTAGCTAGGATTATAGACATGAGCTACTGTGTCTGGCCTGTTTGTCCCTTTTTATACCTAAGTGTTATATATATATTTTTAGGTTTAATATATGTTGGAAATTTATGAGAATTTTTCTTAACAATATTGAGAAATATATGGATATAAATACTTGAGCAATGAATTGCTGATCAGAAAAAAATCTACCAATATTTGAGCATTCTTTTTATATTATTTTTGTGCTGGGGATTCACAAATTTGCAACAGTTATAGTACTCTGTTCCTTACATTCAATCTAGTTTTAACTCCCCAAACTGATTGTCTTTATGTAGTGTAAATTAAATGTGGCAGATGTATTTCATGTTTTCTATGTCTCATCTCTCCAAAGTTTGTTGGTCAATGTCACCTTCCTAATTTTCTAACCAAAAAATTTTTACTTTATATGTAAGTTTATTATCAAATTGTATTGCCTCTATTCTACATTAAATCTTAAGTATATCTTATGCTCTTTATTCCTAATAATAAAGACTTTGTATATTTCTGGGATATTCATAGTCCATACCCAGGACAAATTAAACTTTTTATTCATTAAACTGACAACTATTTTCCCAAGTTCTTCTTAATGCTACTAGCAAAATTACTTTCCATCATTATTTTGACCTATTTGCTGATCTCTGTGAAAGTTTTCAATTCATCCAACTAACTGAACTGAGAAGTGGTAGTGAGTAAACATGCAAGTTGGGAACCAAATTGCTTGCACACAACTCATATCTTATTAGTTAAGTGACCTTGCATAAGTTCTTTCACTTGTAGTTGCCAAATTTTCCCTATGTAATAAAGGCACAATCACAGTGGCTTCCTCATGAAGTTGTGAAGATTCACATAACAGTATAACATACATAGCAACTGCTTGATAGATCACAGCAATTACTATTTTTATTATTAAGGCCCTGCTTTACCCAGACCCTCCTAAAGACTTCAGCTCTGCCCCGAACTACAGGACGGTAATTTATCGATGTTGCTAGCTCTTCCCAATGTCACATTAATCTATACTAATTGGCCTTCCACTGAGAGCACCTCAGACGGAAGACTGAGGTCCATGGATCCACTGGGCACTGCATGGTGCTGATTGATGTACTTCCCTTATGCTGATACTCCTCCACCCTGGACCTTTTCCTGTGACTTGTTTCTGGGACATCCTGAAATTGCCTGCTGTGCTTCAGTCTTGTTTCTAGATATGGATAATTTTCCATCCGGTAGACTCTAAAGGTGGTGGTTAATCAAGTATTTAAATGATGATCTTTACTCTGAAGACACACTTATCCTCTTTATGTTATCCAAATGTTAATTAACATACTTAATAATCTAGTAAGATTGCCTTTACAGTTTAGATGTATAATCCATGTACATTTATACTATGGGTTGAACTTCATTCAATTTAAGAATTTACTAATTCTTAAGTTGCATGTATTTACTAGGGTAAAATCTTGTATTAGTTACTGTAGATTAACACGCTATATCAAATAGCTGTTGTACATTACAAAAAAGTGTACAGCACTCACATATGCACAGGTACCTTTGATAATGATGATAAACATAAAATTTCTTATGGTTGTCTCTCCCTGATATAAAACAACTATGTGCAATTAAATATCTGAATTGTGTGTGAACTAGCATATAAATTGGGATAAGGGAACAAAAATATATGGCACAGGAACAGTCAGGGTGACTTTTGTTCAAAGTCTAGTAATAAAGTTCAGCAGTTGATCTCCTTTTTCATTTTTCTATATTGGTAAATATGCAATTACAAACAGTACATTTATCATATCTGTCTTGGGCTTAAAAGGCACAAAACAAAGTCATGGATTTAGTACACTTAAGGTGCATATACACTCTGCAATACACGGATTTTGTGCTCTCTTAGCCTGCTTATGAAATGGTCTGCAGTAATAAGTACTGAAATTTAGAGTCAGTGAGAGTTCATCTGAGTCATCCATTTGAGAGAAATTAGGATGACAATTACAGAAAGTATTAACAAACTCCCTTAAAAGTTTATCTTTGTCCTTTTTCAAGATTAGAGTAAGAACAGAGAGCAAAAATTACTTCCCCATTGAGCTAAATCTGATGGGTAACATTTTAGGCTAGTACTTAGGGTGGTAAATCTCTCTAGAGAGCATTTGCCTGAGTTTACAATTAGTATTTTAGTTCATAAGTCAGGAAGTATATTTTTCTTCTCAACCCACGTCCCAGGTCCCACTGCTATCACTGGTTAATTTCTAGTCTTTGAAAGGCACAGCTGAGTCCAAATATAGGCTCATATCACAATCCTACAGATTTACCTTAACAGCCATGGAACAGAATGCACATTTTTCATGTTTGGTTTTTAGAGTACATTTAGAGTTACATAAATAGGATAAAATTTTTCAAGTGATAAATTCATCAAAAAGAGTCCGATAGAACAGCACAGGTATTGTGCAGGTCCATATAGGTTCACTGAAAAAGAACGCAGTGCTGTTGGGTAGGGGAGTAACAAAATGGGGCTCTGACTAATCTGTAGGCTAGTAAGGAATTTTTAAGATATGAATTTTTAAAGGAATGTATTGCTTTTCCTTTATCCCAATGGGTTCATTTGGTAAGTGCTAAAATTTGTAGAGTCCTATCATGACTTTCTCAAAGAAAATGATGTTAGCCATCTCTTTGCCTTTGATAGTCAAAACTCTCAGAATCAAATTAAAAGAGGTTTCCAGAAAACTAAGTCAATGCTTTGCTAACAGATCACATCTTCATGTAACTCATTATGAATATTTAGAGACATATTTGCCTAGAACATTAAAGGAATGGAAACTACAGATTCACAGATAATTACAGCTACAGAATCTGCACAAGAGAAACCAGCCTTGGTCCTTCCATGGGATGCACATTTGTAAGTGTGAGACATTCCAAATTTGCTGCTTTTGTACTAATGCCTGGAAAATGCTGATGTTGCAAGCAAATGACTGAAATTATATAGCACTACACAGCACATGTGATATTGCTCCCACGCTGTAGTTTCCTTTAGTTTAAGTTTGTAGGCTTTCGTGTATCTACGAAATGTCACAAGTGAAACTATGATGTTAAGCAAAGGGAACAGAAAATTAATGAAAGAGTGGTCTCCTGAACTACTTCATTTTTAAGTGATCTAAAATTTATTGTCCTCAATGATAACAGAAGCTTGAGTGGTCTTAAATTAATAGGTATTCATATGAGAATATAAATATATGTTGTGTATACATTAACTAATAGTATATGTTTTGTTTTTGTCTGTATTTTTAGAAGGCACTAATATCTTGTGCCTTAGGAATCTAAATAAATGAAGAACCCAGAGGCTTCATGCCCTCAGAATGCTCAGGATCAAGGGTAGGGGAAAGAGAATATCAGAGTTCAAAATAGCACCCAATCAGTCATGCTGAAAGTCTATTTAATAACTCACTTTATAACTGTGACATTTATTTACATAATATTAGGTATATATTTGATTGAGGTCCACAGAACAAGTTTGGAATGAAGAAGACATCATTACTTCTACTGAAAGTTACATTAAATACTGTAACCATTCCAGGAGTTAGGAGACATGGAAACCTATTTCTTGCTGATGTTAGGAAGTTATTTCTCTCTGGATAAAGAGCTTTCTGTATCTCAAATGTCTGATAGGGAAGAGATGAAATGAGAGACTGTGGTGAGGGAAAGTGCCTAGGTCATGTGTTGGAATGAGTTCACACAACTTTATTGCTTGTCTTTACGGCATAACTGCAGCTGAACAGGAGATCAGAACTGTGGTGATTTGTCTTCTCCCAGGGCATGGCGTTACTCACCTTCAGGTCCCGATGGACTACGCCCATCTGATGGCAGTGTAGCACAGCCTCCAGGATCTGCTGAATGCAATGACTGCATGCAAACACCAGGGGGCGTGTGTTAGTTCCAAGCTTACACTCACTGTCTGTACACCCTCAGCGAGACCGGGTTAAGGTGCAGAGCTAGCAGTCAACTGGAGTTGTGTTCTAACTCCTTCCGTCATGTGAACATATTGCTCAAGGAGAGTGACTACTACCTCAGAACAATCAGGATCTTGCCAGATGTGAGCCAGAATGTGGATCCACTCGTTCTAGAATTGCATTTCCTTCAGGAGTTCATTTTCTGGTTATAAATTCTTTCAGGAAATGAACTGAAACATACATACAATCTTTGTAGTTGTGCTTTGCCTCTGTCCCAAAACTACCAAAAACTGTTTCCTCATTCTCTTTCATTTTTCCAGTATCTGTTCTAAAAACTGTTATATTAGCAGACCAGGCACCATTATAAGGTTGAATTAGGATGCCTAATGAATTGTTTTTGGATAATTCATTAACTTCTTATACTTTAATTTAGCTAGCAATTATTATATCCTGCCTAAGGGTTCGTCAGACTCAAATGAAGCAATGTGTAACCAGTTGTTCTGCTACAGCCACCCATGGTCTCAGAACAGAAGTGGTGTTTAAGTCTACAGGCTGACATACATCACAGACCAAGTTCATCTCCAGGCAAATGCTGGACAATTTAGGAAAGCCTGCCCCCAAACCACGTCTGGTAGGTTATTGTTTGGAACCTTAACAGGCTATATTCTTAATGTTGCCCTTCCCTTTTTGCTATGATGTATATGTAGCCTGTAGATGAGCAAACTGAAAGAGGCACCATGCATTATCATTTCATCATTTACTCAATTCAAGAAAAAGTTGGGAAAGGCAAGGGAACGATTTTAAATACCCCCCACCTCTGCCCTTTTCCCAGAAAAACAAAAAAGAAACTCCTTTGATTCAGATTTATGGACTCCATATACTGACCTTCAGGTCCCTGTGAACTATGCCATTTAGGTGACAATGATTTACACTTTCTAGAATCTGCTGTATACAATGACTGCAAAGATACAAGGGCAGAATGGAAGGGAGAACATTTTAAAGGCACATAATCACATTGAATACAAAATAAAGTGAGAGCTCAAACGGAACAAACAAACAAACAAAAATTATATTTCTTCACACTTTTCTTAGCTTTACACTGGAATTAAGAATGTTGAATAAAGCTAATTCTGGTTCTAACAAAAATGACATCCAACAGAGAATTTGTGACATAGTCAGACAAAACAATTTGAGCTGTGTGTGTTTTTTTCATTGTAAGTCTACAAATTAAATCATCTGTATATAGAACTTGAAATTCTCATATTTAGGAAGAAAAATTTGTAAATAATTCCCAAAATGTTCTGGGAGAATTCTCCAGAGATATAAAATTCCCAGGTATTTCTCATACACACCTAAACTGTTTAAAATCTGAGGTCACAATTCAACATAGGTGTTGAAACAAGAGGGTAAACACAGATGAAGTGGTTGGTGAAACAAGGGTTTAAAAAAAAAAGGAGGGACACATTTACCATTTTGACTTAAAAGTGGTGCTTCCTGTATAATATATGAACAGTAAAACTAATCCAAGTCTCCAATAACAGAGGAAGGATATAAACAAATCCATGACATAAAATAAAGCCCTGTTTAGTATAAAAATAGTCTGGGAAAGGGCTAGGGAGCTTGCAAATAAATAAACAAATACAAAAATAAAAATTCAAAATCCCCCGGAGACTGGTAATTGTTAAACCCACTTTTATATACTTTAATGAAGAGTATTTTCTTTGCTACTATGTTAAAAAACACAATTGATTCTATTCTTAGAAAAGCCTCATTGTTGAATTGATTGCTAATTTGATTAGAGAGAAGAAATCTTTTGATTGGCACCCGTAAGTTCCCACAGGCTATCACCTAACTCACAATTATATAGAACATACCACACTGATGAATTTTGTACAAATTCACTGTGCAATTCAAATGCAAGTTTAGGATGAAGTGAACAATTTGATAAGAATGATTTTCATCATTTAATGTATAAAATATAATGTTACTCTCATTTTTTTTTTTTGGCATTACTAGTAGGGTTTGAATTCAGGGCCCAACACTTGCGAGGCAGATGCTCTACCCTTTGAGCCACACCTCCAGTGAAAAATGTTACTCTAAAGGAAATTCTTGAATTATTAAATATCAAAAAATTTATCATGATTGTGCTTCTCTAGTATAATACTATTAACTGCACCACCAAAAGAGCCTCACGTTAGTGACTGTTGGGTATATAGTTCATCTGAATATTGGTTATTATTTTAAAAACATATGACTCTTGTTTTCTTCTAACATAATGTTCACTTCATACCTCTTTTCAGGAATTTTTCTTTCTTTTCTCAATCTAGAAGCATCATTTTTTGGGCCATGGACTAACAGAACATAGAGAAGTGAACAACAATTCATATTAAGTGAACATCACCACTTTTTACTAGTGAGGATGGATTTAATTCTTAAACCCTTAAGGGTTAGGAAGAAAGCAAACTTATTCTTTATGCTTATAGTAGGGAAAGGAATGCTTCTTCTTGATTGTGCATGCATCTATCCTAAAAATATTCTATGATTAATTCTCAAACCTAATATAAGCACACTTATTAAACGATCCAACTCACAGGTCTGTCCTATTACCTATAGGGCTCTTAACAGTGAAAATAGTGAAATAGTGAAAATGGTCTCTATCTTAATTTCAACAAATATTGTTCAAACATAACAACATGTTTAAGATAACTTTCAAAGGCAAAATAGATGAAAATTCCTGAACTAGCTTACTATCTTGATTAAAATTGTCACTCTCTCTTAGCAAGTAGGCAAATAGCTCCTTCAGGGTTACGTTGAGGTCCCCTTTTTGGGACCTACCGTGAGGCTCTGAGGTAAATTGAGCAACTGATGATTCACTTGTCATAGCATAAGTGATACAGAGTTTTCTACTTGATTTTGGCAATAAAAATTCCATTAAAAATTAAAGTATAATCATGTACAGATTTAAAAAATGCCATAGATGGTAGCATTAAGACAAGAAAAATTAGAAAATGAAAAGTGAGCTCCTTCTCATGGGTGTATATCTTGGGCTGTTGTAATTTGCATTTCCAATTGTAATGTTGTACCTCTTTTAATATGTTCCTTGATTATTTGTATATCTTTTTTTTTTTTGTAAAGTTTGCCCAGTTCTTACAAAAAAAAAAAAGTGAGCTTGTGTATGCATGTGCTGGCTTGGAGGGATGGGGGAGCCTCGGTATCAGCGAGTCTCTGCTGGGGGTCTCCTGGAGGGGCTGGGAAGTGGAGAGAGCAACAGAGAATGAGGCAGCCAGCCAGTAACTGAACTTGCTGAACATCTCAGTTAAGCTGCTAGTGAGCCAACTGCTCTCGATCAAGCTCTTCAAAATCAGTGACAGCCCCACCATATCATTACTATTATTACTGGTTATTTAACAACTGAAGACAAAATGCTAACCTTCTTGAAACTTCTGTGAAGATTCTGCTAATTAGGTTGTGAAATTACTTGTGACCCCTCGGAGACATGTGAATAATACATGAATAATTATTTTTCAAGACAGAGTTCCAGGGGATTTAATGAAATCTTCAAAGTGTTAAATAACCAATAATAATGCTGTACAGAGACCACTGGGGCGTTTTCCAGACTGTTTTCTGCTTCCACATAGACATGTGGTTCAGTGGAACTTTCTGTGATCAGAGAGGCCATCAGCCACTATGGCTGCTAAGCCCTTGCAATGTGGCTAGCCCAACTCAGAACTCATACAAATAAACTTCAGACCAGATACGGAGATTTTTTTTTCCCCAGGAATCATCCTAGAAAATTCTTAAAAGGAGAAACTTTCCCCCAAGAAGGGCTTTTTATGAAAAGAACTCTATGATGGTACCATGACATTCTCCTCATTACTGTCACCATGCGTTTATGTGTGTGCACGTGTGTATGCTGAGCAAGTGCTATTTGAATGATGAGTGTCATATCTTGCTCAGGGCAAGTCACTTACCTCGCATCAGCTTCGCTGTAATATTCTCTTGCCACTATGTCTTCAAATAGTTCGCCTCCAGTAACTCTGTGAAGATAAACAAGACAATTAAAAAAGGAAAAAATTAGGCATCAGCATTTTTGCAGCTGTTGTTTATATAGGATTTTCTTGTACTGTTTTTTTAAAATTATCAAAACAAAGCATTTAAAAATATTATGTTATTTCTCATAAGTCAAATTTGTATTAAAATAAACATTTCCATCTTCCCTGTTTGTATCTGCAGAGTCTGAAGTCATAATTTTTCTGTATGTCATGAAATATGTTCCTCAGTATCTTTTACAGAAAGATAATGATTTTAATGAATGTCTCCATTTTTGTTCTTTGAGTATTGATTGAAGTCTGACAAATACATGGCACAGTTTAGGAACATTTTTTGAACAAAAATGAGAAGACATGCATCACGACTGTGCTGCTGCCTGTATTTGCATTCTGTGTCCCTTTGCATAGTCTTTCATTTTGTGTATGTATCCTTACATATACATTTTCTCTTGAAAAACACACACAAAGAAATATTTTTTCAAAAAATTAGGATCATTTATTATCTATTAATAATTAAACTGTGTTCTTCCTATTCTATTAAATCAAGGGTACCTTTTCATAGAAGAGTCATTTTTCCCTGTTTAAAGACAACACAACAAATAGAGTTACAAATATATTTGCACAGTGTAGGCTATTTCTAGAAGAAAAATCCTTACAGGTAAAATTTCTGGGTCAAAAGAGTACTAACATTTAAAATTTTGTTGGGAAGTTATGGTAAATTGCCTTTCAAAGTGGTTTATGTCCCCAACACTGTGAAAGACCCAAATCATTACTAATAATTGTTGTTATCAGTAAACAAAATATCTGATTGTAAAATAGGTAACTCATGCTAGTATAAATTTATTATTAGTGAGGTAGGGAATTTTAGTGTGTATTTATGAGCTATTTCTTCTGCTGCTATGATCTGACTTGATTTGAAAAGGACATTTCAGTTTTAGAGTTTATTCTTATTAATAGTGAATATTCGCTGAGTGCTTACAATTGTGTCATGCACTGTGCCAGGCTTTACATTAATGCATAAATGCTTATGATTACCCTCTGAGATGGGTTTTCCCATTAGCTCAGTTTACTGCTGAAAAAATGGTGAAGTAACCTGCCTGGACCACATGGCACAGGCAGTCCTCACTCGCAGCCCACAATCTCAACAGGTGCACAGCACAGTCGTTCCAATAATTACACTGCCAGTCTTTCTGGAAGTGTAGAAGGTGCAAGTCATTTGGAAAGGCATCAGATGAAGGCATAAAGCCTTGTGTACGACCATGATAGAGTATGACCCTAAGACAGTTTTCTTTTTCTTTTCTCCTTTCCCTTTTTGCTTTATTACATTCTAAAACATTATCAAATGGTAACATGTTCCAGAAATCACAGATTATTATTCTCTTCTCTACTCTTGATTTCCCAAAGGAAAAGACAAGACAGTAAAAACTAAATTTGTCTGAATATTTAGGCAACTTTCTCTCCTTACCAGTGCATTCTGGATTCTTAAAAGTCCTTTAATGCGGGAGTAATTATTTCCAATTCTACCATTTTCACATATAAAATGGGTACCTAAAATCATCATGTACAATTTCATGTAGACTTGTTCTGAAACCATAATACATGTGATTTCACTTAATAGCATAGCTATTTTTTTTCTCAGTGAGAAGTCTATAATAATAACGTGGTCACAATGTGCCCTACATAAATTATAACGCAAAACAATTAAATAGATCATACTTCCAACAAATCCATATTGTCTCTGTAATGATGACAAGAATTTTGTGGGATTTGTTCTTTTGAATATGATTACCACAGATATGATTATATATACCTTTGTTTCTGACCATATGTACATAGAAACCTGAATACATGACAATGTTGGATTATTAAAGTGTTCAATAAGTATTGAGTAAGAAGTGTAGCTCAGTAGTAGAGCACATGGTTAGCATTTGAGAAGTCCTGGGTTCAGTCCCAAGCACACACACACAAATACCCAAATAAACAAAAAATTCTCATTATTAAAATTATCGATGCTTATAGTAGCTCCTGAAATGTGCTGTTTGCTCCATGAGAATTGTCAGATCCTGAGTTATTAGGATCTTGCCTATTTGATCTTTCTTAAAGCCAGTACCTAAGACAGCATTAACACACAATATTTGCTCAGTTAATGATTGTTGGGGTAACAATCAAAAGCACTAAGTTAGAGAAGTTTGCCATTCATTTTATTGTAAGGCAGGACTTCAGATGAACCTAAAAATAGGGAAAAAATAGAGTCAGTGGGACTCACATTCTGGTAACTTCAATGAGCTACAGTTTTAGGCAAAGTTGAAGAGTGTATGGGGCATGCTGGGGATTGAACCCAGGGCTTTGCCATGCTAAGCACAAGTACCACAACTGAGCTACACCCCCAGCTGGACATGGAGATTGTTTTCATGTTCAGTTTTAGATTTTGAAGTTTATTGCCTCTGACCACATCCTTTCCTATCTTCCAGCATTCATTCTTCCCACTACTCAAAAATATCCTTATGTAAATGATACCATTTTACCATTTCTGCAACATCAATGATAAATGTCTAAAAAGGAAAAGGTGGAAGTTATAATAGATCTCACTGTCTTAAGGAGAAACTATTGAATTTCCTCTCTTTAACACATATCTGTTTAATGGAGCACACAATTGTTTAATGGAGCACAAAATTAAGCAGTAGTTATCACAGAGTTTTGAAAATTTTTAGTGAGCTATGTGAAATTTCATATAATGCCACAAATTAAATCAGTCTCGCAAATAAACTGTTAGGTTAATTAACTAATTAGAGATTTTTGAATAAATTGGTGCTGGAGTTCTGCTATGATATGAAGCATATCAATTAAAGACTTGAAGAATTAATTACTATTTATGAATCTCTAGAACATCAGGGCTTACAGAGGAAAAAGAATAATCTAGTACTATGAAAAGATGAAACTCCACATATCAAAAAGGCAAATATTTTTATTTTTATAAGGATTTGTGATTCAAACTGCATTACCCTGCAGAATTAATTGTCCTTTTGTTTCTAGTTTGTATGTTTCTGACTTGAATCTGAGATGGTCAAAGTAGTTTCATCTTGAATGAGATATTTCAAAATTTGATGAACCCTCTACCTGTGATACTAGGCTAAGCAGCTGGTAGAGTCCATGATGGGGCTCTAGTAGATAAAATGGTACTGCAGGAAACCAAGAAGCAGGATGAGAATCAGTACCCGAGGTGTGAAGGGAAAGACAGGAACATCAGGTTGCAGCCCAGTTAGAAAACAGGTAGCCCAGTGCAGCGGGGGAGGCAATCAGACTGGGAGTCTCTCCTGGACAAAAGGAGTAATCCCTCTTGGAAAACGAGTGTAGAACTGCAGGATAAACCCCATGAGCTGAGACCGCCACACCTGAAATCCAGGTTCTGAGCAGAGGCAACAAGTGTCCACTAAGCAGCTCAGCAGAAAATCATCACAAATCATATTTTTGTTTATGTGTTTGTGGAAGCAGATATGCTTCTTGCACTTGAGTGACTAGGCTGGTTGCATCTAATGATGAAGGCAGAAGTTGTGATGGTGACACAGTCATCTGTCTACACCGTAGCCAGCACTCTGCCTTCCAGATGGCTGAACAGTACCAGCAGATGCTCACTGAGTGTCTCTAGGTGGGCAATGGACTGAATACTTACGCCCTGCCCCATTCATATGTTGAAAGTCAAATCCTAAGATAATGATATTAGGAGGTGGGCCTGTGGAAGGTAACTATGTCCTGAGGGCAAAGCTCTCTGGGAACCCCAGAGAACTCCTACCCCTCTTTCCTTCATGTGAGGATGCAATGAGAAGTTGGCCGAAGACAACTCTCATCAGAACCAGACCACTCTGGCCCCTGATCTCAGACTTCCAGCCTCCAGAACTGCAGGAAGTAAATAAGAGTCCTTCAAGTCACCAGCAACCTGGACACACTCAGACAATGTATAGAGTCCAAGGCCTACTCTAAGTGCTCTACAAGTGACAACAAGACCCTGTAAAGAAGACACTAATGCTGTTTCTAGTCTGCAGACCAGGAAGCCAAAGGAGTGGAGATTAAGGACTTTTCCCGAGAACACACAGCCAAAGAAAGAAAAGGAACTTGCTTTTTTCTGCCTGTGTTGCTTTATAGCTTGTATCTTGGGCAGAATTTGGAAAGAGGTTCTCTAGGTAGTCAAAGGATCATATGGAAAGGCTGGGAAGAATACTGACATAAGGAATCCTTTTAGTCCTCTGGTAAAAGTCAGACAGACTGCTGGCAAGGGGAACATAATCACTGAGCAGAGTGAACAAATCAAGATTCACTTCATGGGGCTATTGCCTGGACAGCAAGACTGTCTGTCAGTCCAACACGTCACAGTGGGTGCCAGCAGCACTACTTTGTCAGTGTGCCAACGAGTGTGCCAACCTTACCCATTCCCAGTCACCTTACTGGCTCCCTAGGGATCCCTGAAGACTCACTGAGCTAAGGGCACACACCTATGGGTGCAATGGGAAAGACTGATCTCAGCACCATGTTCTGAGATACCAGGAAAATCAAGCCAATCACTGGTGTAAGGATCTGTCAGGAAGAGGACAGGAAGGATGAGACATTGCATCTTTAGAACCCTATACCATGCATGGAACTTAGGGGTAGCTTAACAAATGTTTGCTGAGTGAATAAATGATTAAGTAATTAAATGGGTGAATGAAACCACAATCATCAGTTCACAATTTTATACTTTGATCTGTGTTTGTGCTAGAATCTGAGGATGAAGAGGTTTAATGACTTTCATATAATTTACTCAATAAAACAAATCCTGCTGATTTTATCTCTAAAATGGAATTTAAATCAAGACATCTTTCTCATGCCCCTACAATGTCACCATCCCAAGTCATAACTATCACCTGCACCACTGAAATAGCTTTCTTAATTGGCCCCCTGTTTCCTCTTTTGCTGCACTGGTATCAATAGCTGCTTTAAATACACATCAAATTTTG